GAGAGGAAACTAATAGCTGCGTGTTAGATGGCCTCTTGAAAGCTTTTAAGACCTCAGTTGCTATGCACCAAAGCAGGTTGTAGAACAAGATTTTTAAGTACTATGTTGTGCCAGTTGAGTATGATGTCACCCGAGACTATGGTCCTGAATCCTCAGGCCTGATGATTCTTTCAGTGTGTTTGCTTGTCTCTGAGAAGTAATTCCAACTTTGTCTTCTGTTGCTTCTCTAATGTATGTGGCTAATTTTGTAGCACAAGTGCATATGTAAGGTTATCTTCAGCCAGATCTACCCTTGGTCTAGGGCATATTCCTGTTCGCCTACCTCCGCTTGATCTTCTCACCTGTCTACGCATTTATCCGTACCCTGGTGTTTGGTGTTAGTGGTAATGCAGTATTGTGCATAGACTACTTTTTGCCTCTGTTGTTTATATCTATGTGTACATTTCATTGTCCTTCCTTTCCCTAGTGTCATCCCTCCCCTCACCCAATCAACTTGTGACCCCCAGATAGTCCGAAGTTTTCTCTCCCCTTCCTTCCCATCCCCAGTAATCAATAAAGTGAATTTCCTTCCCTGAGTAAACCTTTCCTTGACTTTTTACAATAATGAGCTTATACAGTATTTGTCCTTCTGTGATTGGCTTATTTCACTCAGCATAATGTCCTCTAAATTCATCCACGTTGTGAGATGATTCACATACTCTTTGTTATTCTTTAATGTTGCACAGTATTCCCTTGTGTGAATGTACCATAGTTTGGTTATCCGTTCTTCTGCAGATGGGCATTTAGGTTGTTTTCATCTCTTTGCTGTAGTGAATTGTGCTGTGATGAACATGTGTGTGCATATGTCTGTTCATGTCCTGTCTCTCAGTCTTTAGGAGATATTCCTAATAATGGAATTGCTAGATCAAATGGTATTTTCAGTTTTTTAAGGAAACGCCATACCATTTTCCATAATGATTGTACCATTTTGCAGTCCTGCCAGCATTTATTATTTTCTGTTTTGTTGAACTTTGATGTTATTACTGGAGTAAGATAATGTCTTGTTATTTTGACTTGCATCTCTCTAATGGCTAATGATTGTGAGTGTTTCCTCGTGTGTGTGTTGGCTGCCAGTATATTTTCTTTAGTGAAATGTCTGTTCATGTCCCTTGCTCGTATTTTAATTGGGTTGTTTTTCTTTTTGGTGTTGAGGTGTTGAAGTTTTCTATAAATTTTGGAGATAACTCCCTTGTCAGATATGTCGTAGCTAAATACTTTTTCCCAATCTGTAGGTTCTCTTTTTACCCTTTTGGAGAGATCTTTCGATGCACATAAGAATTTAATTTTTAAAATGTTCCAGTCATCTAGCTTCTGTTCCACTGCCACACAGGTATTTTTTAAGTTGTGATAAGTGTCTATAACAAAACATTAGCCATTTCAGCATTTTTTACATGTACATTTCAGTGACATTAATTATATTTATGGTGTTGTGCAACCATTGACATAATTTGTTCCCAAATTTTTTCATCACTTTTAACAAGTTCAGTGCCTTGTAAGCAATGACTCCCCCTTTCCTCCTGTACCTAGTAACCATTAATAAACATTGGTTTGTTGTAGATATTTCACATAAGTGAAGTCATACAAAATTTGTCCTTTTGTGACTGATGTATTTCACTCAACTGTTACTAAAGAAAATGAGAATTCAAGGAATTAAAAAAAAAATAAAAGGAATCTTTCCTACTGTCAAAATTCATGTTTGTTCCCTGGGAAAAGTAATTTATAGCTTGGAGAAAAATTCACGCAGATTTATTTTCCCTTTGCTGGTTTAAATAGATAAGTTTAGTAAATAAAGATTTGAATTTATGTAAGTTATTGTTAGAGCTTTCAACAGTCTTAACGTAATGTTGGGAATAAAGAGTTTCATCTCTTACTTTATGAGGAGTTTCTTTTGTCTTTCAGATGGATGATAAAACAGTTTTTCATGAGGAATTCATTCATTACCTTAAATATGCTATGGTGGTCTATAAACGGGAACCAGCTGTGGAGCGAGTAATGGAATTTGCAGCAAAGTTTGTTACTTCATTTCACCAATCAGAGGTGGAAGATGATGACAGTGATGATGAAGATGATGGTGGCATTTTAACTGATTTGTTTACTTTTCTCTTAAAGGTATTATGAAAACTAGCCCTTTGTGGGGAGGTATTATAGAAAATTTTACCATAATAAAAGGTGAGATTGACTCAAAACACACCCTGTACTAATCCTGCCTCATTAACATAACAGACAACCAATTCCCAAAGGAGATTCTAACCACAAGCATAGGGATTAGGATTTGTAACACGTATTTTGGGGGATATAATTCAGTACGTAAGAAAGATGAATTATACTCTTGTAATTTAGCAGATTCTTATCAGACTGTTTATTTTTTTAGACTATAAAATTTATACAGGCATGCCTTGGAGATACTATGGGTTTGGTTCTAGACCACCACAATAAAGTGAATATTGCAATGAAGCGAGTCATGAATATTTTGATTTCTCAGTGCATATAAATGTTATGTTTATATTATACTGTAGTCTGCTTGGGAGCTCTGGTGGCATAGTGCCTAAGGCATTTGACTGCTAACCAGAAGGCTGGTGGTTCAAACCCACCAGCTACTCCTCGGATGAAGACGGAGCAATCTACTTCCGTAGGGATACCGCCTCGGAAAGCCAAGGAGGGGTTGCTATGAGTCAGGACGGACTCGAAAGCAATAAATTTGGTTTTTGGTTTTGGTAGTCTACTAAGTGTACAATAGCATCATGGAAAAGTTTGAAATATTTTAAGAATTTCCAAAATGCGACACAGAGACACGAAGTGAATACATGCTGTTGTAAAAATGGCACTGATAGACTTGCTCAACACCAGGTTGTCGCAAACCTTCAATTTGTGAAAAACACTGTCTGCAAAGTGCAATAAAATGAAGCGCAATAAAGCGACAGACATATGCCTGTAGTTAGTACACGTTTGGTTCAAGAGAATAAAAACAAACCCACTGCCATCAAGTCAATTCTGACTCATGGCATACGACAGAGTAGAATTGCCTCGTAGGATTTCCAAAGTTGTAAATCTTTACACAGAACCGCTGGTGGGTTCAAACCACTGACTTTTTGGTAAGCAGCTGAATGCCTTAGCCATTGTGCCACCTAGAGCTTCTTTTGGTTCAAGGTGGCATTAAAATTTCTCTGGTTGCATGATTTCTTTGCCAGAGATGGATCACTTGTCACTTCTTAAATTCTGAACATACAGAAACTCTAATGTGATTATGCAGGAATTGTGTATGACTGAATCAATTTTGATTTGTTTCTGTTTCAGTCTCATGAAGCAAACAGCAATGCAGTCAGATTTAGAGTGTGCCAACTGATAAACAAGCTCTTAGGAAGTATGCCGGAAAATGCTCAGATCGATGATGATTTGTTTGATAAAATTAATGAAGCCATGCTTATTAGATTGAAAGATAAAATTCCAAATGTGAGAATACAGGCAGTTCTGGCCCTTTCACGACTTCAGGATCCCAAAAATGATGACTGCCCAGTGGTTGATGGTATGTGTGACTTTCTAAATCTATTTTTCCGTTTTATTTGGATTCTGTTAAATTCTGAGTGGCTGAATTTTTTAAATTATGAACTATATGTATGGAAGAGTAATATAAGAAAGCATGATGGTATAAATAGTTAAGTGCTCAGCTGTTACTGGAAGTGTGGTGATTTGAACCCAGTGCGCAGCTCTGAACCCACCACGCATCTCCGTGGAAGGTAGACCTGTGATCTGCTTTTGTAGAGGTTACAACCTAGGAAACCCTATGGGGTAATTCTGCTGTGACTGGCGATCAACTCAAGGACACCTAACAACGTCCTAGGTAATGTATTTGTACAGTCCAAAAACCAAAAACAAATACCCGAGTAGCCACCACCCAGCTTAAAAATTTAAAGTATTAAGAGTATCAATTCTTTCTTTCTCCGTCAGAAGCAACTACTATTCTGAATCTTAGGTTAATTATTCTCTTGCTTTCTTTATAATTTTATTGTATATGGGTATCCTTAATGTTTTCTGTTATAAAATGAATCATACTATATGTATTTTCCTGTGACTTTTTTTCTCAGCATTATTTCTTACTCATTCACATATTTTTTCTGTATTGTAATACTTTGTTATATGAATGTAACAGTTTATTCTTTCTAATGTGTTTGACCCTCTAGTTGTTTCCAGTTATTTTGCTCTTAACAGCACAGCTGCTGCTGTGAACTTTCTTCTACATGGCTTCTGATACACGTTAGGGTTTTGCTAGGGTACAGATCTAGCAGTGGCCTAAGCTATATGCAGGCTCAGCTTTATGTGATACTATAAAAATGTTCTACAAAATGATCATACATTCTAATATTTCCATTTGTAATGTGTAAGTTTTTATTGATCCATGATACTTCCTGATATTTGCTGTTGTCAGACTTTAAAATTTTTACCAGTCTCAAGGTGTGTAAGGTATATGTTGTTGTTGTGCATCTTTTCATATATTTAGTGGCCAATTATATCTCTTCTTTATAATTCCTGTTAATGTGTTTTGCCCATTTTTCTGTTGGGGTGTCTTACTGATTCATTGGAGTTCTTTATTCTGAAAAGAAGTCTTCTGGTTGTATGAATTGTGGATATTTTATCCTAATTTAGATAGCTTATTTCACTTGCTTTGTAGTGTCTTGTTGAACAAAAATCCTTAATGTTAGAATTATCAATTAACTCCTTTATGATTTATAATTTTATCTCATTTAAGAAATCTTTCTTTACTTCTGGGATCAAAAGGATAGTCCTATTTCACTTGTCCATATACAAAACAAAACAAAACAGAAAAAACAAACTCACTGCCATTGAGTCAATTCCAACTCACAGGGATCCCCTTTGGGTTTCTGAGGCGGTAAATCTTTACAGAAGTAGATTGCCCAGTCTTTCCACGAAGTGGCTGGTGGGTTTGAATTGCCAGCTTTCTGGTTAGCAGTCAGATGCCTTAGGCACTATGCCACCAGAGCTCCTTATTGTCCATATATGCCCAGGAATATTTTAGATACTCTTCTGTTTTATCTATTCTGTTTGTCCATCCCTGTTATCTTAGATTTATAATCAATCTTGATAATAGGTAGTAGTTGATATTTTATGGCACACCTAATAATGTGTAAAATGTAAATGTTTTAGTAGTCAACATGTACTTCATCATAAAGATGGGGATAATGTGAAAAATAAAACAACAACACAACGCACTGCCATTGAGTTGGATCCAACTCATAGTGACCCCTCCTTGGGTTTCTGAGGCAGTACCACTATGGAAGTAGATTGGTTAGCAGTCAAATGCCTTAGGTACTATGCCAATGTAGAATAAACTTTTAGATACAAGAATGAGTTTTGTTTCAAGGAGTAAAGCCAAGAAGTTACTTCTGTTTAGGACTTACTAAAAATCAAACTAATAGGCCCCTCTAAAGTTATATCAGTTTAAAATAAACTGCCTGCTATACTAGACTTTCTCCCAAGTCTTGAAGAGGAGCAAAGACATCATCTTGATGGAATTTCCAAGATTTTTTGGGTTTTTCATTTTTAAAGAATGGAAGTTGGAGGTGAAATCTTCAACTAAGGTTAAATGTATGAAACTAAAAAATAGTGTCTTTATCATTTTGAAAACAACTTGAAATATCAAAATGTCAGATTTTATGACTATAGTTTTTCTTTAGTGTATTAAATATGTATTGCTGTGTTTCTAGCATATGCTACTTTGATTGAAAATGACTCAAATCCAGAAGTTAGGCGAGCAGTGTTATCCTGTATTGCACCATCAGCAAAGACTTTGCCCAAAATTGTAGGGCGCACGAAGGATGTAAAAGAGGCTGTCAGAAAGCTGGCTTATCAGGTAAATAAGTTCAATATATTATATACCAAAAAAAAAAAAAAA